ATAAAGACTACTGCAAAAAGATTGCCAATTTCGGTAACGACCACTGCAAAAAGATTGCCAACCGCTCTAACAATGCGGTGATGTGCCAGGAGGAACAGATCGCAATCTGATGTAGTATAAAAGAACGATGTTTTCAAACCGCCAACAACTGGAATAATGATAACAACGCATCAGGCAGAGATGCAAGGTATATTCAAAAAAAGCGATGGTGGTGAAATAAGGATACTTTCAGCTTCTGTTCCTCATCCTTCAGCGCTCACTCAAATAACGTCTTCCCGCTTCCGAAGTACGTACACTGCAATTATGTTACATGTTATACATAAGTTTACAACTGGCAGACGATAGGTTACACAGTTTTGCAACTGATTTCGGAAGAACAAAGAAAGAAAATACGAAAATAAGCGCGAGGATCAAGGCCGTGGGGGAAAGGCAGGAGGGGGAGGGGTGAAGGGAAGGGAGGTAAAACTTTTGCAGTTACACCGAGATCTCAAAAACACAAAATCGTACAGCCTTCGTAGAATTTTCCAAGCAGACTTCCCGGTCCTTTTCGTTTTGATTTTGAAATATTCGCATGAAACTGTAATGAAAACTGCTGTAATTTTGGTCAGAGAAGCTGTGTAACAGTTGACAGCTTCGCTGATGGCGCCAGGATGCGCTGCAACGAGCCGTCAATTGATTATAATATCGAAATATCAAAGTCGATAAAAATGCGAAGCCGTCACAAGTATTGACATATAACTGATGGTCCTGCACGTAATATACCAGTGAAAAGAAGTAGCGTGATATTCATAATGTTCCTACTGCTCATGCCACTTTTTGGGGCAGCATTACATAATGGCGAACATGCAGGAGCTGAGTACTATATGGAGATATGCAGTTCAGGATCAAAGCGCCTAGCATGGCTGAGCCCGCTGTGTGGGAGCATTCCATGGATAATCACACTGATAGCTCAGATAGTCTTGGTATTCTGGTATTACAGAATGTCCTATAACTCAATAACTTCTTCACGCAGCAGCAAGAACTGTGGCGCAGCTTCACAAAGAGAAGCGATATGAGAGAAATGTCATCTACAGATGAACAGTTCCAGCGAATCAATATAAAACCTGAGCTGGATGAATGAAAAACAACAAACGGTTTTTGAAAATGACAGACCACTCATTCACTGAATGAGATAATGATACTGGGACGAGGAGAACTGAACTACAGGCGAGAGTTTGGGTCGTCTCTGCATGAGAAGAAGGATGAATTTCTCGTAGGAAATATGAGCATTCATTTAAAACGACGAGTGCGTCGTCTGTCGGGATCCTCTTAACTGTTGTGTGGGTGCTGTATCATAAGGAAGACACGAAAGAGGGAGGAAATGAGAACAGCGGAAAAGAAAGGGGAGCCAAGCATAGGAACAGGCTTAGAGGTAGAATGTGAGCATCAACTAGAGCAAGTCACAAAACTGGCTCCCTGGTCAATCGGGAAGCGAAAGCGTGGAATCGTGATCCAGTGACCTACTCGCAACACAAAAAAAAAACATAATTTGCGGCTATCCGAATGACTTTTTAGTAAACCACGTTGGAAGCGTGGAAGA